CCGGCCTTACTTCATCGGGTTATAAGGTATAGTTATACTTTTATAGAATATTGTGTCTTACTTAATATATATATTAATTTTTTAAGGTAATACATTGTTCAGGTTATCTGAAAGCGCGTATATTTCCTGACTGTGGTGATGGTCAAGGTGGTTGCATACAAAATTTAGGATTAGTTGCCGTTGGTCACTCGCTGCCTTCATCTGCGATAACAGAAATTAAACTACATCAGAATATGTTCATGTTTCGAGCTAGTATGGACTTAAAATTAATATTTCTTGATGCTAGGTAAGAACTTAACATACGCTTATAATAATTATAATTGATCTAATTGAACTTGATGCTGTTTAAATTTTTTAAAACTCTAAAAATTCATCACTTACAGTTTTCCTTATATTTTTTTTTTATAAAACTTATATTTGAACTGTTTCTAGTATGTCTTCCAATTAACAATATTTCGGTAGAATTTTTTTTATATACCCAATATAACATTATATAATATGTAATGAAATACGTTTACATAAAAAGTAGAATAAAAACAAACAAATGCCTATAATTCAATATTTAGATATTCTATATCCTAAACCTCCATAGTTCGAAAACATGAAGCCAGGCTCGGTCAGTCTTACTATATCTCCTGTAGTACATGTCTACGGTGCTCGATGAAAACAGACCAAAGCACCTGTTGCGTTTAAGCTTATCTAAAGCCAGGCTGAAGCTGTTGGGCGTCTCATTCTTAAACACATTCTGCGATATTTTGAACATTAGCATTAGTAAGATACTTACTTTTATCTATTCCAAGGAGTGTGGAAACAAAACAGTTTTCTTAGCTAATTAACGCGGAGGATTCGTTCCTCCTATTTTTACGTACTTACCCGATATTGTTAAAAAATTGATGAAACCAATACATGTACAACATATTTCTTCTGACAATTTTTGATCATTTTAATCATTTTTAATAATAATAATAATTATTTTTTTTAATAATAATTTTTAATAATTTTTTTTTTGATAACTTTTTTTACATTTATACGAGGATTTTATTCTTAATGCTAGAAACAATGAAAGAGAAAGTTAGAAATTTATATATAATTTGTGATTTCTTGTGAATATCAAAATAAGTGTTAAATTAATTTTCAAAATGTTTCTTTTGCTTTTCTACACAAACACAATCAAGCAGAGTTCATGTACCCGAATTTTCAATCTGCAGAATTCATCAAGTATAGCAAGCATCAAAAATTAATGCACTAAAATTAATCCTCAAAAATTACTTAACTGTGGCATAAATTTATTTTTCGATCATTGAAATTATTATAAATAAGATTCTATTTAAAAATAAAAACAATTTTATTTAAATGTTGACAAATTTTCAATCTGCAGAATTCATCAAGTATAGCAAGCATCAATAATTAATGCACTAAAATTATTCATAAAAAATTATTCAAGTGTGGCATAAATTTATTTTTCGACCTTTGAAATTATCATCAATTAATTTATATTTAAAAATAAATACAATTTTTATTTTAATATTGACCTTTTGTATACTATAGACCGGAGAACTAAAATTTATTTATGTTCATTAAAAATCAATAGCTGACATTAAAATTGATTGAATTTTAATAAAATATTTCAAAATTTAATTTTGAAATTTTATTTATAGCAAATATTTAATCACCACACTTTCACTTTAAAAAAACTTACAAGTGATAAGATATTACATTACCATCCACATACATTACTCGTTATATTTAAAAACACATGTTTTTTCTTCTTTCTTCTAAATTCAAACCACCCACTGAACAATTTACATACAAGCAATGCAGAAAGAAGTTTGTAAGAACTTAAGTTGGTGTGAAGGGTAGAAAGATGGGGACAGGAAAACAAGAAAAACAAATCATTTGCCACTTGAATCTGATTTTTTATGCTTTGTTCGTTGTTGCTGCCGCCTACCCACAAAATGGGGCGCATAAGAATTTCCCATGTGTCTGGCATTACCGACACTCAATTACCCTCATGATGGTGCTTTGCTCTTTGTCAGTGAAACAAGAGAACAAATTTCAAAGCACAATGTATTTAAGTGGACCCGACCCCTTGCGTTTTGCTTGCTTTGCTTTTTCCATTATGCTTTTTATGCATAATTGAATCTTAGTTGGCAGAACAGTAGTGCGAAATACCCATTTATTTGTTATTTAAATTCAGAAAAAGCAAAAGAACAAACAATAACGCAAACAACAAAAACAATAATAAAATTAAACAAAACACTTTATTTATTTACAGAGTATCACAACTTACTGGTTATGAACCGCAGGACCTTATTGAAAAAACGCTGTATCAGTATATACATGTCTCGGATATATTGTATATGCGTTGCTCCCATCAGATATGTAAGTGTGTATAAAAATAATAATAATAGCGGCAGTAGTTAGTTATTCTTTGCTGCTCTTTATCCCATATGAATTTTAACAAAATCCTTTTCTTTCTTCTATTTTTTTACAACACTATAGTGATGTATAAAGGACAAGTAACCACCAAATATTATCGTTTCCTAACAAAGGGCGGCGGCTGGGTTTGGGTGCAATCCTATGCGACTGTTGTACATAATACACGCTCATCTCGTCCACATTGCATTGTCAGTGTGAATTATGTCCTTAGGTATGTAAATAATTATGAATGTACAAAAATTAAATTAATTTAAAAATTAAATAAATAAACGTCACACTAATGGTATTATGCAAAACAAACCATCGCATGTCTTAAAATAACAACATTGTTGGGATTAAGTAGAATTTTAAAGTTTTTGCTATAACAAAAAGAATTTAAAGTTTTTTAATTAACAAATAAAAATGAATCTATTTAAAATTGTATTAAAAATCCTATATTCTATTATTTACAAAAATAATTGTGTCAGATATTGGAAATGTAGTTGTTATGAAGTGGGCTTACTTGTAAAAATTCTTACAAGTATGAAACAAACAATTTTTGTTTCATACAATCAGAATTTAAATAAAAACTCCTATAATATTGTCCTAAAGTTATAACACTTTGAGGTAATATAAGAATTTAATTATGGGATTCAAATAAGACCAATATAACAGTCGGTTTAAGGTTAAACGGTAATAACTGACTTCATTGATTTGAGGCTCAACTTACCCCAATATTATATTTTTCAATTTAATATTTAAAATGCGAGTAACTATACCACATTTTTGTTTAACTTTTCAATTTATATTATAGTCATATAAAACCACACAATACCTATGCTTTCATAAGCAATCCCTGCTAAAATTTAATACTATCAATAACGTAGATATTCTCATTACTTCGTTCACTTATGCAGTCAGCTCTAATTAAAACATTAGAATTAACAACAGCCAATATGCCAGCTAGCACATATTCTTCTATTCTATTCAATATTCTTCTATTATTCTATTCTTATGCTTTTATTACTTCATCTATCATCACGAACAACTCCAATCATTAGAGAGTTTTTCTATTAACGAAAAACATTCTATTTCATATTTTAATGCTGTTTTCGATTGGAAAATCCATGAAAACTTTTCCAATCGAGATTAATTTTTAGTGCAATTTTCATTTTTGATTTGTAAAACTCGAGCGAAGTGTATAACACTCCAGATTAATTTATAACAATTTTATTGTAGTGTGTTGGCATAGGCTAATAAGTTATTGATTTTAGACACAAGTAATTATTATAGTATAACTTTAAAATAATCTACAAAAGAAAAATAAAATATTAATCCGTAAAAAAATACATTCTTTTCTCATTTTAGTGAACAAGAGGCCAAAGACTTACTTTTAAATGAAATTCAAACGGGCATAGTTAAAACGGAACCAATCACTCCTACCGCAAGTATAACACCAACCTTACATGCAGTACACTCAACTCCTTCACATTCTGTGGTTATGAGTAATGGATTAGCAGCAGCTAGTGTCGTACCAAATACGCTGAGTTGCAGTCCTAAGCTGGAAGCTTGTTACGAGGCAGCTGGACGTTTACCGAATGCTGTAACACCAGTATTAGCCAGTAATAGCAATGGAAGCAATAACAATAACAGTTACTTACCGCAAACCCATCAACATATACAACACGCCCACCACGCTGCGCACATACATACGCACTCACTGCATCCACAAGAAACAGTTGGACATGAAAATCTAAGCTATACACAGCTATATCCTGTTAATGATCTCGTAGTTAGTTCCAGTAGTAGTACATTAACACATGATATACAATTTCCTGACACTACAACAGGTAGTGGCTACTACGGTAATACCAATAATAATAATAATCCATATTATTATGATGCAACTGTGGATGTGGCGAATGCTTCTATTATACGACCATATTCCGCAAATTCGAATAGTTGTTCTAGTAGTTCGGAGAGTGATCGACAAATGTCAACCGGGAATGCCTCCACGGTGAACGACACATCACCGCAAACTACGTACAGTGAACTAAGTCATAATTTTGAATTAAATTATTTCTCCGATAGCAGTTCACACCAGCATACACATCACGCCCCGCAGCATTATTCACACGCCCATCAGCACACGTCACATGATATGCAACAGCACATAGCAAGCAATCATACCGCAACACCACATCAGCAACATCACCACCAACTACATCATCATACACAACAACAACAGCAGCAGCAACCCGAACAACATCATCCGCACGTTGTGGCTAACAGTTTCGCCGATAGCTTTAAGAACGTCAACGGACCCCATTACACCAGCGTCATTGTGGAGCCCCAGCACTATATAGCCAATGATTTTGTGCATTAGCAGCTGCTGTTCGCCTGCAGAAGCCTTTAGTGTTCATATAAATATTATATTAATACGTTGTTGTTGTTGCAATGCTAGATTTTAGTTTGTTCGTACATGGCTGAGCCATTTTTATTTTTGAAATATTTGCATTAAAACTTTTTATTATATTATTAATTACATATATTTTTCTTAGATATACGTATATTATTTTAAATCATAAATTATAGTTTTATTTTGTTATGTTGCAATCCTATATCAATATTTTGTAAGAATTTCATTTACATATTTTTGTTCACATTAAATTCGCACCAAACTACATGTAAGCGTACAATTAATTGTTAATGTTTAATATATAAAAATTATATAAATTCAAATTAAAATTTACAACAGAAATTAAAAATTATTTATTAAATAATGAAATTATTTTTAAGCTAAATTGTTTATTGGCTATATAAGCGAATTGGTAAATATTTATAGCGAAATGTATATATACATAAAACTGTCATTTAAACACAACTACAAACATACATAAACAATAAATTGTTTAATATTGATCTTCACACAAAGAATACATAAATACATGAATACATAAATAAATAATTATAATAATTGTAATTGTATTGTAATTAAATGTAATTTTTTTAAACTAATACTACGCGTAATGATAAATAATAAAGTGATAAAAATATTTATAATAAAAACATTTTATACAATTTTTTTATAATCTTTATAATCTATTAAGAAATATTATTAATTTATACATTTTAATGTGTTGACTAGGGTTAGGTACAACAGGTAGGTAGATAGGTTATACCGGCGAACCCAAGGGACCCAAGGGATTAATACTTATAAATGTTTTAAATATTACAGTTAAATAATAATAATACTAAATATGAAGATAATAAATATTATATATATAAATTGTGTATGGGTTTCTTTTATAAATGAGATAGATTTTGACAACAATTGACTACATCTTCATATTTTTATAAGCACCTCTAATAAAATAAAAAGTTTCTTTCCAGAAGATACACCACCATTGAAAATGTTCTTTTTTTTTGGTGATAAAATAAAAATAAAATAATTTCATAAAGAAATTTTTTCGAACAGTAGTGAACTACAACAACAAATATTCTTTTTATATTATTTTAATTAATTGAATTTTTGGCTGACCATACAGCTGTTTCGAGTATTGCCAATTACCCATCATCAGTGCTCTTCGAAATAATTGTTACATTTAATTATTCGTAAATAATTTTTTTTGAGACTGCAAGTACCAGGAATCGAATTCGTGTCCTGCCAAATTGGAAGCTCAGAGTCAGCGCACCTTAATCTATTGACACAAAGCCGTACTTGACTTTTTATGTTCGCCTATTTTTCTGGAGTTTTGTTATTTTACTGTTAAAGTTTTATTAACAAATTGACTTATTGTGTTTATATTACAACGAAATTATAAACTAGCTGTGGAATAATTGAATTAAAAAATTAATTATACTTTTATTTTTAATTGTTTAATTTCAGTGCTATTCTGTTTGTAGAGGCATTATTTGTTGCATGATTTATATATTCTCTCTTATGTATAGAACCTAATCTAAGAAAGTAATGCTGAGAAAGTCATGATACTGTTACTCTACTAGTCGCACGGGCAAGACCAATATTTTGTGAATATAAGTTGTAATTTAACGTCAAATTTTTCAGACGGAAGTGACTATTATATTTATTAGAAACTTAGTATATTTCATAAAGAGGTTTTTACGAACAGTAGTGAACTGCAATGTATATAATTTTTTAAAAATATTCAAGAAAGAATGTCTCACGCCGCACTTATAATTCGTTATAAATTATTAATTAATTACTGATGTCCCTAAAAATATGCAATTATTTGGTAACAATTTTAATAAAATAGAATAAATAGAATAATTTCTTTATAACAAAAGAGTGTGTTGAATTATTATTAAATTCTATAAGTGTTTAGATATTCCTAAATAATCTTTCTCACGTGCCTCTTGCTGATTAAAATAAAAACGTAAACTGAGGCCATTATTGATAAGATTTGAACAATGAATATGAGGAACTATAAAAATTTTTTTTATTTTATAAGATAGCTTTATATACATTTTTTGTATAATATTAATCAAACATTGAAATAATTTTTATTGGAAATTAAATTAAAATGCGTTTATTAAGATAGATTTCACTTAAACATCTCATATTGATTATAAGACAATCTATTGCCTTTTGGTTTCAAATTTTAAAGTAAAAATTGAATTAGAATGTATTATTGACATAGGTAAAAATTATATCGATAGGCTTATTCAGAAGTTATTAAACTAAAACACTCTCAAACTCGTCCTTTGCTTTCGGTTAAAGCTTTTTCGGTATTAAAATCAGGTGTTGAAAGAAATGAGTGTAGCAACATCAAATTCAGAACACCTTTGGGCATATTTTTTATTAAGGATGGATGGTACTTTAGAAGAGCATGTGCTGTAGGGAAATTTGATATTCATTAAAGTTTTGATAAGTTTAAACTAAATCAGCATTTCTATTCTTGTGCAACAAAAGTTGTTTGAATTACCTTAGATATTTGATACCGGTCCAAAATTTTAAATTTCGGAAAACTTGTTTTTAACGTTTCTAAGTGCTAACACGATTTGAAAAATAAGAACTCCTTTAATATAATTCTTTAAGAATCCTTCTTTAATATTTTTTTTCCGTTCTAAGGTTTGTTAGTTCCCCACTACCATTGAATTATTTGTGTATAAAATACTTAATGAATGTTACTTAATTCTTGTTAGTTAATTAATTAATTATTTTCATTTCCAGAACCCTAAGTTGAAGCGATTTTATAACCTATCTATACGCATGTATAAATTTCTTAACCTTGTAGTTCTATATTAATAATTACTTATAGTATAATTAAGTACTTATAGTAATATATATCTATTAGAATTATTTGTCTATTGATATTTTTCATTTTTTAACTTTTAATTATAATGCGATAGCGTACTTGTGAGTTATATTTCACTTTTTATATATAGGTTCATAGTATGAAATCTTCAAAATAAATTATTTTTACTTTTACTAAATACTTCCTTAAAATTTTTTAATTGTAGTTTACACAATAATCAAAAATTTTTTATTATATTTAAAGCTGAAATTGCAAAAATCACTTAATGTCAGCATATGTGACTTTAACATTCTAACATTTGATATTAAAATAGTTATGATGTTATTTGATTCCAAAAAATAACTGATACTGTTAATGATTATTAACTTATATTAATACTGTTGTAATATCTATAATTAAATTAACGCTTTTAAAGCTCAATAGGATATGCATTAACACGTCACTGTATTTTGTAGTTAGTCAACAGTTTTATTTACCTTCATGATTTTTGTACTTGAACTACTACTAAATCCCCGACTTTAGTACTAAAACACCAGTCTTTCGGCTTCCAGAGAGCGGAACACTGAGACTATGATCGATCTCGTGTGCCACTTATCGACTCTAATTCAACGGAAGACTTCCCTTGTTTTTAAAAGGGAAGCGGAGTTGATATTCTATCTCTTCAGGCAGAACCATTTTGTTAGTATGGAAACGCAGGTCATAATGGCCCGTCCAATAATCTCTTAATAACTTCAGATGAATTTTATTGTGGATAGATATCTTACAGTTGTTGTACGGACTTCACCAACTTTGGCTTTGGGGATCAACTGAAGTGTATCACCAGTAGAGACTTCGTTCAGCTACAAACCATTACAGATATTTTTGTAAACCAACTTATACAATCATGCATTAATTGTAAATTCAAATAGTCAGTATGGTTTGTATTCTATGAAGCAGTCAGGAAAATATACTTAATTTAAATCCATTAATCTTAGAGTAAATAGACAATTTGTATTACAAATATGACCATACTCAACTATTCCAAATATTTTTGATAATAGTTTAGACCTTTCTTGTTCAAAGTTATCTATCTTTGTCTTATATATAGTGCACAATTGATTTGTTTATCTTGAAACAATACTATGAAACAATACTAGTCACACTGTCGTTCATGGAACTTGTCCCAAAATAGTAAGATGATACGATATGGACTTGGACATAATTATTAATCTTTCATTTTAGTACTAAAGTTTCCCATGCACTGAGCTTTATTTTATAATTGTAAATTATTTAAGAAGTGTTTTTGGTCAATTTTGATGTTTCTTAAAATATTATAGAATATTTTCAAATATTTGAGGTCCTATATATATATATAAATATAGCAGAGAGTTTTGGTAGTGCAATATATTTTATTTCTGTCTGAAATAATTGCTGGTTTTACCATGTTGTTTTAGTGAAATACACTATACATTAGCGTTTTCAGAGGAGTGAATATGGAATTAATCCACCTCCTTTGAAAATTGTATCTATAGATAATAACATTTAAATACATTGTCAAAAAAAAAAAATAATACTTTCTGGTATAATCCCTCCTGTATGAGTGCAGTTTTAACAACTTTCAGAGTTCATAAATTTGCAACTTTATTGTTATAAGATCCATTGTTTCCTGATATCAAGTATACTTTATATTCGTATAAAATGTAGTGAAAGCATTCAGTCTTCTCTGAACCATTTTTGGATTAGTTGTTACAAAACTGTATAAGTTAACTGCAGCATGTGTAATTATACTATTGTATATCTTGTATTAAATTAATATAAATCATGTGTTTTTAAATAAGCATAACGTTGATTCAAGAGTAATAGGAATACAATTTTACAGAGGATGAAGAAATTGCTGTAACATATCACTAAAAAGAAGATTTTAAAAATATTATTTATGCATATTTTAAAAATAATGGTTTTTTTAAACATAAAAAACATAATAATAATTTTAATTAATTACAAAAATTGAAATTAATTTTATGCATATCTATAACAGATTCTTTTATGAAATAGTTTAAATATTAATTAAAAATATTTTAAAGATTCTGTTATATTCAAACAAAGCTCATAAAACAACATTGAAGCTTGAATTTAAAAGATTTTAATAGATATATAACAAAATAATTTTTAAATTTAATATGCCAACACAAAAAGTAGTGAATTTTCCGCACACAACATAAAATAATTTAATACATAGAAATGTGCACGCACAGA